TAGGTAATGACAAAGACCCTGATGAGGTTCAAGATTGGCTTCCGATTGTACCAAATTCGAGTTTATTGAGGGTGCGTGGTCGTCCAAAATCCAATCGAATTCATTGCGATATGGATATTCGAGAAATATCTAGACAAGACAGAAGATGTGGGCATTGTAGATGTAATATCCTCCATGCCGGGTTAGTGATTAATTTGCAAAGTTTTAACATTTGGTGATTAAAGTAGAATAATTATATAGTTTAAAAATAATGGTTAGTAAATATGAAATGAATGTAAGGACAAAATGGTCATTTGTAAGGAAAAATTATAATTAAAAAAATGTTATGGGGTTATATTATAACCCACGTGGGGCTTGTGGAGGAAACAAATGTTTCCAGAATCCTCTCATTTCTTCTTCCTTCTTTCTTATCTTCACTCTTCTCTTCTTCCAAACGTGAAGACCCAAGTTTAAGGTAAGAATTTGAACCTTGGTAGTTTCTTTGATGTTTAGCTTGGAAATTGAAGTTTGGATGTTATATAAGCTAAAGGAAAGCTTATATGACATTAAGACAACAAGATAAATGTTTTAGAGATAGATTTGGAAAATGAGTTTTTAGATGAAATTTTGATATGGATGAGTTTTTGAAGTTTGAATAAGATTTTTGACTTGTCAATAAGCTAACTAAGAAGTATGAGGTGTTAGAATTCAAATTAGAACATGTTGGAATTTGGGTTAGATTCTTAAATTCTACATGGAGAATTAGATTTCTAAGTTTTAGAAATATTTAATGGATAATAATTAGCTTAAGTAAGAGTATGCAAGTTAGGAAATAAGAAAGAGGATGATATATGAAGTATTAAGCTGAAAAGAGTGGATTTTCGGGCATAAAAGAGGATTCTGGGCAGAGTGCATCGATGCATATTCATAGTGCATCGATGCATAAAGTTTAAAACCCAGAAATTATTTGAAGGTGTATCGATGCATTGGTAATGCATCGATGCACTCTTTTAAAATAGAAACATCGAATGCAATTAGTGCATCGATGCATAAGTCATGCATCGATGCATCCCAATAATAATACAACATCGAATGCATTTTATGCACCGATGCATCAGTAGTGCATCGATGCATACCTTCATTAAAGGATGAAATTGGCTTTTCTATGAGTCTAAGGAATGATAGTTTAGAATATATTAATTAGTATACTGATAAGTATCATTGAATTATTATGTAGATACTGAGCCTACACGAGTTCGGGAATAATCTACAAGTAGGATCGATCGAGGAAAAGGCAAAGAAATATAGGTGAGTGCATATGCATAGCATAATTATAGAAATATACTCAATTCTAGACTTGTGATAAGTCTAGATTTTATATCTTGGTACATGAGCATATCATGTATTATGAGACATGACATGAGTTCATATAAAATGCATTATATGACATGAATATGTGGGAAAAGTTATGAGCTATGTGAAAAGGTAAGAATTTACATGTCTACGCGATATAGACTACGTGAAATGTAAAAGCCCATGTTATGTAGATGAGAACTATAGGTATAGTTGGCATGCCAAGGGTAGAGGGTCTACGCGGTCCTTCGGGACATATGTATATTCTTTGGAACATGTGTGAAGTCTTGGAAAGACACATACTTGATCCCTAGTATATGTATATGATTCTTAAGGAATTCTATGTGGTCCTTATGGACATCATTATATGGCACTACGGTGCAATTCTACGCGGCACTTCAGTGCATTTATACGAGCTGTGGTGACAGCATAGTGCACAACCTCACATTACTCAGATACCTTAGGTTCTCAATACGATATCATGGGCCAATAAACTTATTCATACAAATTCATGAATGCTAAAGTAATATGCTTACAGGTATGGATATTGATGATGTAGACTACATTGATTAAGTACATGTTTGCATCTCATTTCATATCATTATGACAAGGTCATTACATTGCTTTGTTATTATTATTACATTGCCTCACTAAGTCGATGACTTAGCGTGTGAGTGTTTCACACGTAGGATCCGAGAAAGTAGACGAGACAGGTTAAGCAGCTTGACAGCATTACTCCTGCAACCACCAGATCAGAAGCAACTTAATCAGTAGGTCATTTTGTTATGTAAATGACAGTTGTCATGTAATTAAAGGGTTAAGTTGTGTATGCTCTGAATATTTTGGTAAACTTATATTACAATATGTATATTATCGTATTTTCTTAATATAATTTCAAATATTTTGCTATTATTTGTTAAAAGTTGTGTTTTAAAGTCAATGTAGTATCTCTGACTCATATCCGGGTCGGGTACGGGTTGGGGGTGTTACAGTAGAAACCCAGGACACACTAGAAAAACATGTCCACTTTTGTTGCCATCAAGTAACAATTGATGAGGAAATGATGTATTTGTTTATCAAATAATAATTATTGTACTTTGATTTGCATTTACTTCAAGTTAATGTCATTCGATAATCGCTGATGAAGATTAAAAAAACGAACACAATCATTAAATTTTATCAAACTAATAACAATTTGGTATTTGAATATAATTTTAAATACAACAAACTTACAATAAGAATTAAATGGTAAATGATAACCAAATTACAATAACTGATATTAAATGGTAATAAACAAAATTAACTGAAATACATTAAAAAAAGTCCAACAAATTTAACAAAATAAAGTAAGTATTAAATGAGAAATAATAAAAAATTACAATTTAACAAAATAAAGTAAATACAAATATAATAAAAAAATATATCGATGTTTGCGACGCAAATGTGTTTCGCAGGGCGGTGGATGTCGGTCTCGAGGAGGATTTCTTCGTATCACTGATTCTGACTCATCGTTGTCATCATCATCACCATTGTCGTCGTCGTCGTCGTTGTCGTCGTTGTCATCCTGAGCAGGTATATTAGGTTAATGAGGAGCTGATGACGATGAAACACCTCCATAGAATAAGGACCCTGGAGGTATATGACTGACTATCCCACTGGCCTGCGAAAACTGGAAAAACTCATAAATCTCAGACATCGCTGAGTGTGAAAACTGTACGGGAGGTGTTTGTGCTGCGACCATGGGTGATGAGGTTGAACCCGCCAGATATCCAGCATATGAACCCCAAGTCGGATATGTAAACATAGACCCATAATAGCCTCCAGGAGGGGTCATCTATGACGGTGGCGGCGGCGGGGTCATAAAACCAGGTGAAGGCGGCGGTGGCGGCATTTGGTAATGGAAAGACGACGGCATCATATATGGATGCGACATCATAAATGGCTGCGGTGGCTGCTGTGAAGGTCTTGCTGGTGCAGCTGAGGATGAACCGGAAGTACCTGCTCTCCATCCATGAGTCGGGGGACGATGTTGCTGTGTCGGTGAATGTCTCTGTCGACGTCGCAGAAAGGTCTGCCCTCGTGCATCCTTGGGAAGCAGAAATGGTTTCCCGTTACTGTTGAACCACTCATAATAACCGTCAGCAACACTCAAGAGGTCAAGTAAAATGGGCTCTCTATGGGGAAGACGTCGATGTCGATCCTCCCACAACACGACCCACTCATGATGCTTGACCAGCCAATCTGTATATGTCTTGCCGCGTCTATCTAAGCTATGCAACTCATCCATATTGCGAGGTGCTTCCGGAATTGGTTGAAAACAACCAAACTGTCGGAGCATGCGATCAGTAGAGTGCCACTCGACGGTCGCATAACAGATCAGAGGGATCATCGCCATCCAAACATCTGATGGGCCCCTCAACTCAGGTGGGATCACCGCAGTATGCATGCTCGTGCATACATATTAACTTCATCCTCAGAGGCGTCTGCGCTCAACTCCCGAAAATTGGCATCTAACCATTTTAACGGTATCCTACCTCCGATAAAACTTTCTGGGACACGTCCTAGATTATCCCGGCACAAAGTAGTCCAGGAACCCTGCGAGATCCCTGATATCACATCTCCATCCACCGGAAGCCCTGGGTGCATAGCAACATCCTCAAGTGTAATCGTGCACTCTCCGCACGGAAGATGGAATGTGTGGGTCTCCGGCTTCCACCGCTCTACTAAGGCATAAATAAGGTCTAGTTCTATCTTATAGTGACCCTGATATCTACCTATGTAACCAAATCCAACCTCTACTAAATACGGCAATACACGGCTAGGTATCACTAACTTAAGATTCCTAATAAAAAGATCTAATACACGGTCATTCTACTAAAATTAAATAATTACACAAATTAATTCTTAATCTAATAATCATGCATTAAATAAATCAACAAATTATTACAAATAATTTAAATTAAATTTAAAACGTTAAAATGTTACCGTATCAGCAAAGTGTCGAGATATATGATTTTCATCCAAGCGAAGTAGACCGCCTTCCATTATATATATGCAAAAAAATTATATTAGTAAAATATTAAATAAAGTAAAATGCTTAAATAAATTAAATATATAATATTAAAAGTATTATAAAATATACCTTAAATAGATAGAGAATTTGAGAGAATTTGAAAGAATTTGAAAGAATATGATGTGATGAAAGTAATAGAGGATGGATGTATTTATAGGAGGATTGGGGGTAATTAAAGGTATATCGCGCCTCCTGTACCGCACTATACTTCACGTGTCAGATAAATAACTATAACGTGGATAAGGGGTCGCGCTATATCCACGTGTAAGTCATGTCAGCGTATAGCGCGGTATAGGGGACGCTACACCCCACGTGGAGCCAAATCAACATATAACACGGGTCAGAGAGCGCGCTTTACTCTACGGGTGTTAGATCAAAAAATATAATCTGACTGATATTAGATCAATAAATATACCAATAACTGATGATTTTTCGAGAAAAACGCCCTATTATTATACCCCATGCCTTTACACGGTAGTCCAACGACAACGGTGTGCTTGTGATCGCATAATTTACTATATCAAATTGATCAAACAATATCTGGGCCTTGAAAATGAATAAACCAGGCCGCTCTAACTCGGTAGCCTAACTCAGTTGCACTTTACAAGTAGGGCTGCAAAAATGGCGGAAACAAAGCCTCGGAGTTGCACTTTCACTCTCCTATTTCCAGCAACTCTTATCCGGTATCCGAGAAAAGGAGAAAGAGATGAGAGGGCGGTCAATTCTGCGTCCAATTCTTTTCCGTCAAGCATTCAGTGTCCGCTCTATTTCATCATCTTCTTCTCAGATTTCAATTTCCAATCTTATAAAACTAGCCTTTCTCGAACACGAACTGGCGCTTGGTATTCTTTTACCGTCTTTGTTAGATTTTCCCCCCTTTGAACATCGAAAAAAGAGTATTTTTTAACCCAAAATGTAATTTGGTTCTTTGATGTCAGTTCCAAAGAACGTTGTCCCCGTTAAGACGGAAGAAGAGTTCTACACCGCAGCTAGCAAAATTCAAGGCCAATCCGTGCCGGCTGTTCTCTATTTCACTGCTACATGGTGTACTCCTTGTAAGTTTTTCTGAATTCAATTTCACTTGTTTTAATTTTCTAATATCAAAGGCATTGGCTTTGTTTCATTGATATTTGTTGTTTTCCATCTCTTTGCAGGCCGATTCATCGGTCCTCTCATGGTCGAGTTGGCTCGGAGAACTCCCGAAGTAACGTTTTATAAGATAGATGCCGATAAGGTAAAAAATTATATATATATTCGTTTGTTGAATTTATTAGCTTCATAATTTTCTGGTTTTGGGGTGTGTGTATATACGTTCTTTTGGTAATATGTTTTCGCATTCTAGAATTTTATAAGTTCATCTCCTCAAATTTTAGAAGTTTGTTCCTTACATGATAACGATATACCTAAAATTTTAGAAGTATGTCGTCTAACATAAAGTCCTGCTTCTCTATATATATTTATATGTGTGTGTGCTAATGTTGTCCGCGTGTTGCAGGAAGGTCTTGCTGGCATATTGGAAGAACTAAATGTAACATCTGTGGTAAATAACATTCTTTTAATTCTGGTTGCTCAGTACTTGAAGTGCAACCCACATTTTTTTGCTGTTCCTCATTTGTTCTCTTGAATGATTATAGTTCGGTTAATCATATTTTTTTTCGATATTAAGTTTCCGAGAGTGTTTTCCGTTCTTTATATGAACACGATTCTTTGTTCTATCACTAATATTTCATCTTTGGATACAGCCAACCATACATTACTTTAAAGAAGGCAAAATGGAGGATGAAGTTGTTGGGGCTGATGCTACACACATAGTTCTTACAATGAATAGACTTTACAACATGTAACCATTCTTCGCTTTTTACTTTCTTATTTTGCTGCTTTCTTGAAAATGAGTTTATTCACTTTATATATATATATATATATATATATATATGATTTAGATGTTTGATATATTGTCTACTAAATTATCCAATTATTGTATTCTGTTTGAACTTGTGGATTTTGCATTTCTGCCTTTTCTGTTTTGTTGAAAGCTATAAATTTGGAGTGTATTATTTTGGTTTCCTCGAAAAATTTTGTAATTTGTTGATTATCCGTTGTTTTGTTTTCCGGAATGGATCCGAAGGCGGAGGATTCAATCGAAGATGTACCTGACAAAATTGATGCTTGATGGCAATTACCAAGCCTTTTCTCAAGCAAATAAGGGAAATGAAGGCTTGTAGGATACTTCTCTCATCCTTTTCATTTAGGTATGATATATTCATATGTGCGGTTTGATTTGTTAATATCTTTTAAATTTCACAGATGTAGACTATTTTTATGGTAATGCGTAGGTTGATTTGGCATAGTTGCCTTTAAAATTTTGAGATTCCATACCAGGGATGTTAATGGCATAGTTGTGATTGTAAAGCTACTCACGTACGATTTGAAAAAAGAATAGGTTTCTTCTTAGTCTTATCGAGCCATACTCGAGTTATCGAGCAAGCCGAGTTTAAATAATTCTTTATTCAAGTGGTTTGTATGACTAGTCGAGTCTTTTCTGGATAAATGATTTTTTTCCATTCATCCAAGAAGCAACATTAATGCTTCTTAAGTTTATATAGGTCTGGTCGAGTCTTTTTTTGTATATGACTCGAGTTTTAACTCGAGATTGAATATGTTAATCGCATAAACGAGCTTATTCAAATGGTCCCAGATATGTGATCTTATGTTAAGTTGGTCTCGAGCTTGAGTTGAGATTTGAGATGTTACATGCACAAACTTTTACCTGTTGCATTATAGCTTTGTTTTCATTCTGAAAACGATGAAATCACCTCGTCTTTTGAACTTTGTTGGTGAACTTGGAAATTATCAGTGGCTCCCCTTCTACCATGAAGAAGAAGATTTAGGATACAAGTTGCTGGTAAGAAAGTAGGCATAATCTGAAAAAAATACACCTGATTAAATGATTAAATAATTACTGACTTTTACTTTTTAGGAGCATTTTAGCCTCTAACGTTTTATTATAGCGCAAAAGGACTCTTAATATTTGACCTAATAGTCACTTTGATTATTATCTCTTGAGCGTTTTGGCCCTTAATATTTCATTATGGGGCAAAGATACCATTATTTTGGAGTTTTGGAGTGTTGATCATTTGTTAACTAATAATTTTTATTCATAGATTTTTTATCTGCTTGGATAAAAATAATAAATATCAAAGTAATTATTTAATTTAACGCCAATTTTTTTGGGTATTATGCCAAGAAAATAAATCAAAACACAATACATAAAATTGGTTGAGACATTCAAGTTCCATAGATGAAATTTCCTTTTGTCATACAAGATTATTTTGAGTGCATGAATTGATTCTTCCCTATTAAATTCTAAAATAGATGCATGTATACATACATCCACAAAGGCGTTTACAGTACTGTCTGAGTTCCTTAAAGTACCAATTTGACCATGCAATTTATCACATCTCTTCTTCCACCTGTAAAACAAAATACCCACCATTATTGTTCGAATCGATCTCGAAAATGATAGCACAAGCAGGAACATGCCAAATTATATATATAAGAACAGGTAAAAGTAAGAAATCGTACTGTTTAGAGGAGGCACTGGTTACAGGATACCCCAATACATCATAATGTCAATAACCATGACATAATAGAGGACTTTGATTGGGTTTCCCGTTCCATACTCTTGACCCTATTCTGATATAATTTTGAGGCTTCGAGTCTTCTTCTTCACGTAAACTGATATGGCTGTGCTGTTTAGGCATTGTTTTCTCTTTTGCTTCTTTAATCAAATTTAGCAAGAAATGTCCACAGCTCTACCTATTGATGAATTTCTCATCCAAAAAGCAAGATTTACCGATGAACAATAATTTGAGACGGAGATTGAAGCACAAAGAGCAAATTTAACGGAGCATTTGTCAGTGAATCCAATTCCAATTCAAACGAATAATAATTTCTTCCTTTAATACACTTCAAAACCATATCTTTCACATTAATGTCCTAAAGAATACAAGTAGTTTTATTTATTTTAAAGGTAAATTACAAATTTCATCACTGAATTTTACTTTCTCCTATTTTGTTCACTAAACTTAAAGTTTTTAATTTTCTCACTGAACTTAATACACATTTTTTTTTCCACTGAACTTTACTATCTTATTTTGGTTATTCTGTTGTTAAATACTTAACGGCATTAAAACGATGCCGTTTTAGAATAACAAAATTTTCACCAAAATGATATCGTTTTGCATTTATATAACATCCTATTTTAACGACGTTAACTATTTAACGGCTGAGTGACCAAAAAGACAATGTATTAAGTTCAATGAAAATAATTGAAAAGATTTAAAGAATATCAAGTGAAATAGGAGAGAGAGTAAAGTTCACTGACAAATTTGTAATTTACCCTTATTTTAAAATAACGTCTTAATTACACAAGTGGAGAATGTCTGGTACGTGGCGCTTAACCGTTTCGCCACGTCGGAAAAAGACTATCAATGTGGGGACCACTGGTTTACAAGTGCTAATAACCGTTGACTTTTATTCACGCTAAATTTCATAACTGCCGTTCATGTCACCGCGACTTTAGCGGAAGAATCAGAAACGGAACGGCAGACGTCAATTTTGTGGCATCTTCTATTAAGAGATATCCCCTTTTCTTTTATTTTTTAAAAAAAATAGATATTTGATTTTATATATATAAATACTGATTTCTTTCTTTTATTAATTAGTAAAATTAATTAATTTTCTAGGGGAACTTCTTGTTGATTTTCGAGTCTTCAATGGTATGATTCTCGACTCCAATCGAAATTTATTTGACTTTATTTATTTTCAGTCACGTTTTTTAATTTTTAAAAATATTTGAATATTTTGATCAGGACCGAGCTGCAAGCACTAGAATGAATTGCAGGCGACGTCCATTGCACACCTGGGTAGTCTCCGCCATTGCTATATCTCACAAAGCTTACATGAAAACACAAGGTTTGAAGGAACCGTTTGCTTTAATGGCGATAGGGCTTCTATCGTTAACAGCACATATGGTTTACCATATTCTCCATTGCATTCAGCATTTCTGGTTGGCCGTCTTCTTCTTCGTCGATGATTGTATATTGGCACTTGAAAATATGGTCGAGACCCTTTTCCCGTCGTCGAGGCATGTTTTCGACAAGGTCGACTATGCCGTCGAAATCATTGAGGCTCTCCCCGGGAAATTCGATGATGTTTTGAATGAATTCCAGGTGATAATCAAGCAAGTTCCGTTTTTGGATTGGGGATTATGCCTGGCAATCTCGTGGTTGAAGCTCTTGATATCGATGTTGACTCGTTGGGGATATGAAAATATTAAGGAGAAAGAGATTGTCTTTGGTACGGCCTACAATGGGGACATCAATGGCGGCGTATCAGAAATGGAAAGCGATCACAATGAAGAAAAATTCTCCAAAGTATCAGAAGTAGAAATCGATCATGATATAGCAAGGGTCCTCACAAAATCGCTTAGTGTTGGCTGCATATCAGATACGAAAATTGATCATAATAAAGTAAAGCTCCCCACAGCATTCATTAATGTTGGTGTTGTATCAGAGGTTGAAACCGATCATAATGAAGCAAAGCTCTCGACTCAATTTCTTAATGTTGATCGTGAAGAACCCTTAAATTTTGGACACGAACCAGAAAATGATCATCATGAAGCAAAGCTCCCCATAAAATACCAAAATGTTAGCTGCAAACCAGAAGCAAAAATTGATCACAATGAAGCAAAGCTCCCCGTAGAATCCCTTAATGTATCAGAAACTGATCATAACGAAACAAAACTCTTCATAGAATCCCTTAATGGTGGTCATATGTCAGAAGTGGAAACTGATCACAGTGAAGCAAAGCTCCCCACACAATCCTTTATTGTCGATTGTGTACCAGAAGCAAAAATTGATCATACTGACCCAAAGCTCCCTACAAGACCACATGTTGATCGGGTATCAGAAGCAGAAACTGGTCACAACAAAGTAAAGCTCCTCATACAATCCTTTAATGATGGTCGTGTACCAGAAATAGAAATTGATCATATTGGAGCAAAGTTTCCCTCAGAATCTCTGAATGTTGGTCATGTGTCAGAAATGAAAACTGATAATAGCGAAATAAAGCTCCCCACACAATCCCTTAATGTTGATCGTGTATCTGAAGCAAAAATTGATCATCTTGAACCAAAGCTCCCAACAAAATCACTTGTTGGTTGTGTATCAGAAGAAGTTGACCACAGCAAAGTCAAGCTCCCCACTCAATCCTTTAATGTCGGCCGTGTATCAAAAGTGGAAACTGATCATATCGAACCAAAATTTCCCATAGAATCCCTTCATGTTGATCATGTGTCAGAAGTGGAAACTGATCACAACGAAGTAAAGCTCCCCACACAATCCTTTAATGTTGGTTGTGTATCAGAAGTAATTGATCATACCGAAACAAAATTCCCCATAGAATCCATTAATGTTGGTCATGTATCAGAAGTGAAAACTGATCACAAAGAAGTAAAACTCCCTACAAAATCACTTGTTGATCGTGTATCAGAAGCAGAAACTGATCACAGTAAAGTAAAGCTTCCCACACAATCCTTTAATGTTGGTCGTGTATCAGAAGTGGAAACCGATCACTACGAAGCAAAGCTCCCCACGCAAACCCTTAATGTCGGTTGTTTATCAGAAGCGAAAATTGATCATATTGAACCAAAGCTCCCCATAGAATTTCTTAATGTCGGTCACGTGTCAGGAGTGGAAACTGATCACAATAAAGTAAAACTCCCCACAATTTCCCTTAATTTTTGTCACATATCAAAAGCAGACATTGATCACAACAATGTGAAGCTCCCCACACAACCCCTTAAAGTTGGTCATATATCAAAAGCGCAAATTGATCATACCAAAACAAAACTCCCCATAGAATCCCTTAATTCAAGATGTACACCAAAATCAAAAACCGACCGCAATAAAGTGAAGCTCCCCAAAGTATCCCTTAATTTTGGTCATGTATCAAAAGCAAGAATTGATCGCTATGAAGCAAAGCCACCCTTTGAAACCCTTAATGTTGACTATAGAGATGATGAAAAGATTAAAAAACCAGAAAAAAAAACAGAAAAAAATGTTGGTGAGAAGGCTAATACAAGTACTAACAAAGGAATGTTATTCAAAGGAACATATAAGGATGTATTGAAATCGAAAGCAACGTACAAGGATGCATTGCAATCGAAAGGAAAGGATAACGACATGATAAAATCGACAGGATCGAATCAAGACGCCTTAAAATCGACAGAATCGTATACGAAGACATTAAGATCGAAGGGATCGTATAAGGACGTATTAGAGAGGGGAAGTAGAGAAAATATTACAGAAAAGAAAACAATGAAAACGGGAAGCCAACCGATAATGATGTTGCGAAGATGAATCAAAGTGAATGTTATG